CACCCGCTCGGGAGAAACCGTTGACCAGGTCGAACAGCAGCGCCGATCAGAAGAGTCAGAGGAGGTACCGCCAAGACTCGAGGTCCAGATCGATAGACGAAGGGAGAGGGGACAAATTGAACGGGACGTCGTCGAGCTACGACGACCTTAGCCGCGCGGACAAGAAGCAAGCGGAACGTAAACTGGTGGACAAGGTAAACGTCGGCGTGAATACCAGCAGAGGCACCTACAAAGAGTATCTCGCCTCGAAGAACAGAAGCAAGCAGCAAGATTACGGGTTCAGCGCGTCGAGCACCGTGATCGGTAAGTCGAGGGACATCAGCCCCTCGACCGGTTCGCGAATTCCCCAAAGGGGACCTCTCAGCTCCAGCTTCAGATCGAGACGGCTAGAGTCTGACATCGTCGGAGGCGAGTCGTCGCAGCTTCCTCACCAGGCCGAGAGAAACTGTCGCGTGAGAAACGCGACCGACAGCAGGCTGACGAATTTGGCGAAGACGAGAAACGAGTCCGATCGTGACAGGATATCATGTGGAGTAAGCGGCCTAGCTACCGGCATTACCGCTGCTGGCGGCTCGATCGTAACGGGCAGCACGAGCGTGAACGCGAGCGCGGTGACGACGACGACGACGAGCAGCGGCACACTCTCGGTTATCCCCAGCAGGAAAGCGTCGTTTAAGCGAAGCTCTCAGAACCACGATCAAAGCACGGTTGGCGCGACGAGAGCGCTCGTTAAGGAAGAGACAGGCCAGAGAGCGAGAGGGGCCTGCGGGGGGAACAGCAGCAACCTCTCGAAGGGCCCGAGCAACCTTGGTGACCAAGGCGAGCCGATCTCGCCAAATAAGGACGGAGAAAGTAGGCGCCCGGCTCTCACGAGCGATTCACCGCGAGCCGATGATAAACCAGCCGATGCCGCTTGTAAATCGGCGACAGAGTTCTCGAGGAGCGTGGATCGGCCTACGCGAGATGTACTCCCGAGGATCACAACCAGCGAATCGGCCGAGTCTAGGTTCGTGTACCTTCATCGCGACAACAAGAGAGACAACAAAATGGAGCAGACGAGGCAAGAGGCTGTTTACGGTGCGGTTGGCGCGCGTGTCCGGAGCCTTCAAGGTCAGCAGGAATCCCGCGTCACGAAACCTTCGAGGAATCTCCAAGGCGGCATCGCGCCGTCGGAAACTAGAAAGCCACCGGTTCTCCCGAGAAGGGACCAGATCCCCTGCACGCAGGACTCGATGCTGGACGACCGAGCGAGGAATTCGCCTTCTTCCACCTTCAAGTCGAACAGTCGCGTGTACGCGGCGCTGCAGCTACTGAACGAGCAAAACTCGGCAAAGTCGAGACTATCGACGGGCAACAACGGTGTTCAACCTTTGGAGGAAAGGTCTCCGAGCAGATCGCACTATTCCACGCCGAATCACGTGGAGAAGATTTACGAGCGTAGCCTGCAGCCTCAGGTGATTCACGTGGATGACCTCCAATCGATCCTGCGACCTTCTTTGCAGGTTTCTGCTTACGGCGAAGGTGGAACTGCCGGTCGATCCGATCTCAAGTCGCCTGCCAAAGAAGCGGTTATACTCGACGAGCGAAACGAAAAACAGCCAGAAGAAGAGGAGGAGGAGGAGGAGGAGGAGGAGGAGGAGGAAGAGGAAGAAGAAGAAGAAGAAGAAGAAGAGGAGGAGGAGGAGGAGAAGGTGGAAAAGAAAGAAGAAAAAGAGACAGAGGTTTACGAACGGGTCGGCGAGTTGCGGTACGAACACCTGGAGACTATCGAGGAAGACGATCAGAAGAGCGAGGCATCCGTTTGCAGGTACCCGGAGATCGGATTGAGTCAGTGCCTGAAAATTCAGCAATACCTGCCGAACGGTAGATCGAGAGGTCCTCCTCCTCCTCCTCCTCCTCTTTCTCCTCCTTCTCCTCCCGCGGAGAAGAAAAAGGAAGCACCGGCGACGTGCACGAAGCGGGACCAGCAGCAGAACGAACCTGCCCGGACGTTCGTCACGTTTCGCTCGTCCGGCTCCCCTCAGGGCATCAAGACGACGAGCCTGCAATCTCGATCGACCGCGACTGGTTTGTCGGAGTGCGGCAGCGAGCAGGAGGAGAAACGGCAAGTCACGGAGCCGATCATGATCGTCGACGACCTGGAGATCCCCTACGATCCCGGGAATTTGGTGCTCGACAGAAGCCAATCGTGTCACACGCGGGAGAACAGCAATCTATCGACCGCCACTATACCCCTGGACGAGCTGGAGAGTGAAAGGCAGGCGGCAAAGTTCAAGGCCGAGGACGCGCGTTTTCGATCGAACGAGATGCCCGAGCAGACAATGGAGGCGGCGAGGTGCAACCTTCGGTGCAACCAAGACTCTGGTCTTGCCAAAGAGCCTAGCCAGAAGTCGGAGAAATGGGAGGCCGAGAAAGGGGAACGAACCAACTCGCGGGAGATGGACCGGTCGGTGGTGAACGAAGTGCTGGTGAAGAATCTTCAATTCAAGCAGGACTTACCGAAAGACTCGTCGTCGGCGGAGCGTAGTCCCGTAGTCGGCGACTCGTTTGGCAAAATCATCGAGCACGTCGCGAGCCAACAGAGGCCGATCGTTTTCCACAATGTTTTGTGCGACAATTACGAGAACGTGCGAAACGCCAGGTTCAAGGAGAGCAAGGTGTACGTGACGAAGGAGGAGATGGAGCGGCAAAGGCTGATGGAATTGCTGAGGAAAGGGGACTACGAATCGGTGAAAGCGGTGAGTCACGAAACACATTCTTTTTATTTATTAGTTTCTTTCTTTGCTTTATCTCCGTACGTACGATTCAGTGTTTCACAAGGTGAAGTTTCACACCTCAGGCCACCACTTTTTCTTATCACAGTCAAGGTGTTGTGCTCTCGACACAATGGAAAATTACACCTTGAGAGATACGAGACACGGTCGAGCAGGTAGAATTTTATTCCTGGCTGGCGTTATTTACGATAATTCGCACACACGTTACACGATTGACTCTATATCGATCTCGGGATCTTAATCGGTTTCGCGTTCCAGTCGCGGAAGGTCGTGGATTTTCGCGAATCAACGACGTTTCACGGGCACACGGGGCTTTTGTCGCGAGTATCGCGATCGCTTCGTAAACCGGGTCGTTTCAATTCGATCCGAGATAAGCTCCGCTGGAAAGATACGGTTGACAGCAAACCAATAATTACATTTATCGTTTCGCATCGAATTGTACAACACCGTTGTTGTGTCCCGCGCGCCGAGTCAGCGGTTCTTTCCAATAATTACAAGTCGGTATTAACCGAGATACGTTCGATTTGCTCTTTATCTCGATCGCGTGTGTACACGGAACGGTCATTTACCGGAGGCAAAGCCTCTTTCGCTCGTTTCTCGTTGCCCCGGTGTGTTTCGTTCGCTACAGTTTTCCATTTGCGCCGACTGCCTGACCGATGTAATCTCACCGGCGTGATCGCAACGTCGATTTCCAACTTTACGAATTTCGTCCCCTCCCGGGGCGAAATTCTCGCCAACTGGTGTAAACAGACCGCGTCACAGTTGGCCACCTAATAGAACTGCTTTCTCTGATTATCGCTCCACGAACGGTGTCAGCTTGCGTTAATTCGCCGCCTCTGAAAAAAACAATTCATCGTGACATTACACGAACGTGACAATACACGTTACGTTTCGTTCACGAGCGCGTCGACGAGAAGAAGCGAGACTAACTGAGAATAACGGAAATCATCCGTTTCGGAGGGTTGATACGCGTCGCGTCCGTGAAAGTCGTTGTTACTCGTGGTTCACTTCTTGAAGGTGCTCGAGATCACGAGACACGAGGCTCCGCGAGTAAGAAACTGGTGGCGCATAGACGGAGACGAAAGAGGCCGGCACGATTTATGATTCAGCCGGGCTCTGGGAGCCGAGCATTAGGTATGCGGTTCATAGTACGCTTTAACGCGCAAGAAAGACGCAATAAATTGTAGCACGCGTGCTAGTACGTCTTTCGAAGAGAAACGTTCTTCTCGAGGAGAAGACGCGCCAGGCTCACCCTTAACGAGGTTTCGCCTTCGTGCTGCTTCTTTTCTCTCATCCTCTCTCATCCTAGTCGGAGCTACCTGCTCCCAAGGACGCTGCAAATTAATTTTCCCTCGACTCTATTCAGCGAACGGGGCGCTGGCCCGACGCTGTAAATCGTTTTCACGCAGCACGAATCGGACGAAATCCTCAACCTTTTGACACACTCGTGATCTCGTGTACGGTTCTCTCTCTCTCTCTCTCTTTGTCCGCGAGGTCTGTTGAAATTTTAGTAACGAGAGTCTCCGCCTCGCGGATTTCACGGCGTATTAAGGCAGCATTCAAAGCGGCAGGCGTTAATGGGACAGATTAATAACAGATTTTTCGCGAGCTCAATGAGGACGCCCTCGATTTCTCGTCTTCGTTACTCGTAATTTCGTCCCTTCCGCATTCAACGCTTTCTTTTCCGAGCATTGTTCCGACCAGGCGGCTGATTTCACGGACAATGCGGTAAATCGAGGCAGCGAATTCAAGAATTCTTCAGGAGACAATAACTGAATGCGCGTGTATCATCGCCGACGAGGCTTATAGTCGTTCAATTCCGTTTCGAGACGCGCAAGACTCGTTCAGACAATCGTCCCGCACCCACGTGTAAGTATATTCTTCACTCTTGAATGCCTTCGCGTGAGCCTGGAATCATTTCCGCGAGAGAGGGAATAGTAAAGGAGTAATTCTCTAAAAAGTAAATGGAACAGGTTGATCGAATTCTTCGTGAAGATCGGCCGATTTCTTTGCAAAGGGGATGGAAATTTCAAGAGACAGAGAAACAGCGATTTGGCAAATCGAATAGCTGCTACAGCTGGGTTAGAGAACGGTAATGGGGGCGAAATTGATGATAAATGGTGACGACGCATCAGGGTGAGAGAGCGTGTCGCAGGGGGGCGAATTCGCGAGAAAATATATATCGCGGTGTGCGTAAACCAGACGGGGCTAACCATCATACTCGAACGGTGGATTAGGTCGAGTGACCGTTTGCTCGTAAATATCCGTGATCGAGGAGGCGCGGCTGGCCAGAACATGGACGCGCGTATGCATTTCTGCACGTAAG